GGGATTGGTATCAATTGTGCTAGAAGCTACTTAACAATTACAATGGTTGTCATGGTGGAGGGACAAAGCCACAAAAATAGAACAACAAAATATAGCAAGGGGGATAAATGTTGTTTAAGATCAACAGCTTGGTGATGGGCATTATGCTGACCTACAAGAACAAATGCAATCTGATGGATGTGGTTATAGAATAATATCAATTGCAGCTTTAAGAGCTTGGAATATGGTTGATGAGCCTAGGAAAGACCTTCATTTACTAAGATAATACAAGGACCCTGGAGAAGCCTTCATGGACTTCTTACAGAGATTGGCTTCAGCTGTAAATAGTCATGTCAGACCCTGATACAAGACATGTGTTGATAGAGATCTTGGTGCTTGAGAATGCAAATATAAAATGTAAGTGAGTAATTAGACCATTAAGGCATGAGCAGCCCCAATAGATGAATGGATAAAAGACACAAGTAATATTAGCTCTCAGGAGCATCATGCCAATCATAGGACAAGACATAGCTGGGTTGCTGGGTTTGCTGGACGTAGCTAGAGGTCTCAGATATCAATATACCTGGTGTTTTAATTGCGGTGAATTTGGCCATTTACAAAGAAATTGTAAGATTAAAAGCTTCAGAGATCAAAATAGCAGGTGCATTAACTCTGGAGAATAAAGTGTTTGTGGAAGAGAAAAAGCAGTTTGTGATTGCAATATGTCAAAGTTTCCAGAGTTTTGTATCTGCTGTGGAAAGGGAAAACATTGATGTAGGAATTGCAGGTTCAAAGGGGACATATGATGTAACCTCTTGCCATTGGGAAATGAATGAAGGGGCCTGGCAGCTTGAGGCTCCACAGCAAACAATACGAGCCATCTTCCTTTGGTCAGCCAGGAGCTAACAAGCAAGCAAGAAAATAAAAATTAACTATTGCTGATCTTATGCACCCTACTGAAGGCAGTGCAGCTTTGGATCTGGCCACACATACACCTCTTACACTACCCCCAAAAGTTGAATGTTACAAAATAACCACTGGTGTTTATGGTTCTTTACCTCCAGGGACAGTAGGAATAATCTTAGGAAGAAGTGGATTAAGTTCTCAAGGATTTATTGTATTCAGGTATTATAGATGTGGTTGCAAGAAAAAAAAATCCTGGCACATGTGAAAAAGGAGATAAAAATTAATTCAGGGGATAGAATTGCTCAGCTGTTACTGTTTCCTTATATCAAGGGCAAAGCCACTTCAGTAGAAAGTACTAGAAAACATATGTTCTGGCAAACAGTGGTTAATAATCAGAGGTACAAATGAATGGTGTTGAAATAAAAGGTTTGGTAGATACAGGAGCCAATGTCAGTCTTTCCCAAGTCCTAAAATTCAGATTGGCCACTTCATAAGGTTTATACACAGTTTATAGTAATTGGTAAATTATCACAAATAAGACAAAGTGTCTGATTAAATGTATAGGATTAAAATGTATGGAACCAGAAGAACAAAACAGGGAAGTTGAGACCCTATATGGTTGACATACCAATAATTTATGGGGAAGAAATCTTGAATACAATGGGGTACTTAAATTAACATTCCTGCAATCCCAGGGGCAGTAAATGAGTAAATTAGGGGTGAAATGATAGATGCTTCCGGGGAAGGTATAGCTATGTGTAATTAAGAACAATCACAAACTGTGCCCATTTTCCAAACACAGGACACCACAGGGATTGAGTTTCCAAATTTATAAGAGGGGTCACTACTGAAACACCAACAGCCCTGCCCCTAAAATGGATATCAAACAGGTCTGTGTAGCAAGAGCAAGGGCTCATAACAGAAGAAAAATTGCAGGTACTTGAACAACTGGTACAAGATCAGCTGGAGTCTCAACATATACAAGAGTCTACCAGTCCATGGAAGGCCCCTGTGTTTGTTATTTAAAAAAAAATCAGGAAAATGGAGGATGATAACAAATTTAAGAGCAGTGACTAGAGTAATTCAACCAATAGATCCTTTACAGCCAGGAATTCTTTTTGCTTCTTTTTAACTTAGATTATGGCCTATAATAATAATTGACTTAAAAGATTGTTTTTTCACAACATTCTTTCAAGAGCAGAATAGGGAAAAGTTTGAGTTCTTAGTACCTACTCTGAACAACAGTGGTCCAATAAAGAATTACCATTTGCAGGTGCTTCCCAAGGAATGTTAAATAGTCCAACTTTGTCAATATTTTGTGTAACAACTGTTACAAATAATTTGTAGGCAATTTCATCAATCTATCATTTATCATTACATGAACGATATTTTGTTGGCTGATTCTGATGAAGAAATTTTAGAGAAAATGGTTAAGAAAACACAAAAATTCTGCTATGTTGGGGGTTGCAGATGACTCCAGAAAAAAATACAAAGATGAGATTCAATTAGTTATTTGGGTTATAAAATAAGCCAACAAAAAAATTGGGCACAAAAGGTGTAGCATGTAGAGACCATTTGCAAACTCTTAATGATATTAAAAAATTAATGAGAAATATTAACCAGCTGAAGCCCACAACTGTATTAAGTACTTATGAGTTAAATAATTTGTTTCAAACATTACAAGGCTATTCAGATTTAAACAGTCCAAGCTGTCCGACAGCTGAAGCAGAAAAAGAATTCATTCTGGTAGAACAAAGACTGCAGTATGCATATGTGAATCAAAGTGATGCTAAATTTGATTGTATTTTGGTCATTTTGCCTTCAACTCATTCTCCTACTGGGCTAATTATGCAAAGAAAAGAAAACATAATGGAAGGGTTTTCTTAGCACATAAACAAAGTAAAAAATTAAAGACATACACAGAAAAGATTTTTGAATTAATTATAAAAGGCAGAATAAGACTTTGTCAATTGTCATGAATAGAGCTGGCTGAAATTGTAGTATCTTTTACTAATGCTGAGATTATGTCATTGTGGATAATCAGTGAAGACTGGCAAAGAGCTTATAATAACTACTTGGGAGAAATTAATAACAAATATCCAAAAAGCAATATATAAAATTTATAAAAACGAATTGGATTCTTCCACGTATTGTAAAGGGAACACCAATTCCAGAGGTACCAACATTCTATATTGATGCAAACATGATGGGAATGGCAGGTTATAAGTCAGGCAAAATAAACAAGGTGAGCAAAAGCCCATATACCTCAGTTCAAAAATCAGAATTGTTTGCAGTCCTATGTTATTATATTTTCCTGAATCTGAATATGCAGGAAGAGTTTTTTTTTCATATAAAAGCTGCTGAATTTATTCCTGGTAACTCAAAATTAACTTTGTTATTCATGAAATTGCAACAGGCCTTCAGAAGTAGAAACTATCTATTATATATTACTCATATTCGGTCTCATACAGGTTTGACAGGTTCACTGGTACAAGGAAGTGAGGAAGTTGACCATTTGATAACAGGAAATGTATTAGCCTCAAAATTTCATGAGAAACATCATATTAACAGTAAAAGTTTAAATTAAAAAAAAACTATCACTTGTCAACCAGCCAAAGAAATAATAATAATAAAAAGTCCTACATGTTCTCTTAGAACCAAACTCTACTACCTGCTGGAAGTAACCAAAAGAAATAAAACCTGGAAGATGGATGTGTTTCATTTTGCAAGAATTTGGAAAACAAAGGTATGTACACCATACAATTGTAGCCATGGCTACACAGAGAAATTCTGTTTTAAAATAATAAATAAATAAATAAATAAATAAATAAATAAATAAATAAATAAATAAATAAATAATCAAAACCTACAAAGATGCTCACTCAAGATTTCACAGCTAGAGCATGAAATATTCAGGTCTGCAGCCATAACCACTGTAAGTCAGTGTATACAGGGAAGGCTGAAATATAAGTGTGTTGGCCCCAAAGAGCAGAGGGCCTCCTGTGTTGTCCTGAAGGGTTGAATCTCAAGGAAAACTTACCGAAGAAGGAAAAGTCATTTTATTGTTTGAACTTGAGGGGAGAGAATTCTCAACTATAATGGATCTTTGGGACAAGCTTGTGTTTTAGTGCTGGAGTACGCATTGGGGGTAGCCTCAGCTACGTGTGGGTACGGGTGTTAGAAAAATGACTCTCCTAAAGTGGTGTCTGCTGTGTGTACAAGATGTACACCAGGTTTTAAAGATTTAGTAGTAGAGGACTTGAAACTCATATCCATCATGTCCCTTGGTGCCCATTGATATATTGGTTGAAATACAGTATTTAATGAATTATTCCTGCATTTTTACTTTTATGGAGAAACTAGACAATTTTATTTTTACCTATGTGGTCTGCATTTTCTTCCTTCTGGGCAGTTTGACCTTGAGTGATTTGTAGGTATTTTACTAATCACCTCTGATGAAGGTCTTCCTAACCACATCGGCTTTTTTTTTTTTTTTTTCTTTTTAAACTGTATTCTTTCCTTGCTTTCTAGTCATTTGCAAGAAAAGTTTAAAAAGGCTTCCCCCCTTGCAGAGGTTTGGGAAGCCCAAGAGTTTCCTTTCTTCAGTTGTTCCCAGCCACAAACAAATGCTCAATGTGCTGTGCTCTGTGAATGAGAAATTCAAATTACAAGGGCAAAAAGGGGAGATGTGAAAGCAATTTCCAGCGCCCAAATGGTGTGAAGTAAAAGTGCTTTCAGAGAATCCCACGAAAATGGCACAGGTGGGCACAGTGGGTCTGGCTCATCGTCAGCGAGCCCAAGGAGTCGAGCCCAAGGAGTCGAAAGGAAACTCTTAACTACAAACGCCATGCCACAAAACCATAGTTACAATGCAAAGTAACTTAGCTTCCCACCTATCTGTCACCATCTCATCTAAAAAAAAAAAAAAAAACTTGTGAAAATACGTAATCCTGAGGAGCCTTCGATTAGGTATAAATACTGTCAGAAAGGAAGGTGCAGGGTATAGCTTCCATTGGCTGCTCAGCTACTAGAGAAGACACATCAGCCGATTCCTTTGGACCCTCTGACTTCGTACAGGAGCCGGACTTGCCCTGCCTCAGCCTAGCTTGGAGACCATGAACGCTACACACTGCATCTTGGCTTTGCAGCTCTGCCTCCTGGCGATTTCTGGCTGCAGTAGTCAGGTCCCAATCATTGAAGAAATAGAAAATTTGAAGAGATATTTCGTAAGTATGATCTTTTAATAATGCTTGTGGTTGAAAGCGACTGGTGCTGCCTTGCCGCTGTCAACGCCTAGGCTGCTGTCTCTGGGCCCACAGTCATTTTGAGAAGGCGAGGTGCTTCGTAGCTATTTGCTGGTGAGGTGTTTACTGACACAGTGATCTTATTTAACCCTCTGTTCCATTTGCTATGGAGAGTGAAGGGATTTACAAATCTTCCCAGAGAAAGCAGAAACATGCTGATCATTTTCTGATTTCTTTTCTTTCTTTTTCTTTTTCTTTTTTTTTAATCATATCATCATGATAAGAAGCACTCCTACCTTCATGGTTGGCTATTCATTTCTCATTCTTCAGACTACCATGAAAGTGACAGCAAGAGATGAATATTGCCATTAAAATACCCAGGGAAACAACTTCTTACTTAAAGTAATAGAAGGCAAATTTCGTGGTGTTTCTGCTTGAGAAATGCCCCTTGCAGGTGTTTTTTTTTTTTTTTTTTTGTTTGTTTTGTTTTGTTTTTTGTTTTTTTCTAAAAAAGTGATTTTGAAATTCTTTTACAAGCGAATTATCACTAGAGCCAGTTGCTTGGTGAGGTTTGATGGGAGTTGTTTCTTACAGTTTGACTTTTTTTTTCTTTTGTGAAAAAATTTTAAATTAATGGTTAACGAAAACAATTTTTTTTCTTTAAAACTTTACACTTTGTCCCAAATGTATACTTCTATACATGTAGCTATTATAACAATCTTCAAGCATTCACGTCAGTTTTATCCTCACAATGCAAATCAAGCTGTCTCACATATGTGTTTGGAGCAATCTTTTAAGACAGCGGTTAAGAGCACAGACCGATGTTATAGTTATTGGAGCCTGTACCAGAAGGGGGCAGCGTGAACAGTGGAATTATTTTGATGATTTTTTTTTCCCCTTCTTAATTTGAGAGTAATTTTCTTTAGCTCACTACAGTTATTTGGGGTCCTTGAAATCTTATCAGCTTTGTTGAGTTTATTGGTGGCCTTGAAATTTCAAGATTAGGCTAGTAAATACAAAAGCTAAAAGAACGCAATAGTCTTTGGCTAAATTTAACCCATAGTCTTTTGAGGACGCTTGTTATTAGAAGAAAGCAGAAGGGCAGATAAGGAAATCAGCGGCTGTTGTCAACACTGAATTTAACAAAACCTGATAAATATTTTTAGGGGAGTTGGTGAAAAAAAATTACAAATCAGTCTTTCCTCTTTTCCTCAGAACTCAAGTAACTCAGATGTAGGGGATAGTAAGGACGTCGTTTTACATGTCTTGAGGAACTGGCAAGAGGTAAGCTGAATATTCCTTCCTTTCTGTTTCTCCTTCTTCTGGTTTCCCTGTTGTTTCAAATGGACTAGTTCCCACCATCCTCTCTTTGTGCTCTTGTTTCCCAAGGATGGCGACACAAAAGTAATTGATGTCCAGATTGCCTCTTTCTACTTCAAACTCTTTGAGGCCTTGAAAGGCAACCAAGCCATTGAGAAGAGCATAAACGTCATCAGGGCAGAACTAATCGCTAACTTCTTTAACAACAGTGAAGCGAAATACGATGGCTTCATGAGCATCACGAAGATTGAGGTGAGATGACTTTGCAAATTGTTTTATTATTGTATTTTTGCTTTGTATTGGATTATCAGGCAGTAGAAATTGGCTATCAAACAGTTGATAAAACTAGGTGTGCCCCTGTCTGAGATGTTTCCTCACTGCAGGCATATTGTGAGGGAGTTTGGAAAAGCACAGACATTCAAACTATTGCCCACATGATGGGTAAATGCTATGAGGAGGAGGCAGAAGAGGAGAGCATTGAATAGAGCTCTTGTGGTACCTAGGGTATGTGATGGAAACTCTCAATTAGGATGGGAAGTTGGGTGTTAGTGGAAAGAGCAGTGGGAGGGAGTGAGAAGACTGTGTGCCCTCCTCCTCCCAAGCAGGCCACAAGGAACTGTGACTTCAGATGACTCACATGCCTGGCTGGGTGCCGTTTCCTATCTTGATAGAAACCAGCTGGGATCACTACATGCATTTATTTCTTTTGCTGAAACCAAACCAAACCAAACCAAACCAAACCAAACCAAACCAAACCAAACCAAACCAAACCAAACCTCTACAGTGTTATAGGTAGAAAATGAGGAGGAGGGAAAAGTATTACAGCTTCTAAGGAGACATCCTACCCTTAGACTCTGGTTAGCCTCTCATGCTATATAGTCCAATTTGTTTTTCGGAGAAGCAACGGTATACACCTTTCGAAAGGATTCCTTTGTTTATCTTTAGAAAGGCTTGCTCAGTTAGCTTTCAGATATGGGGGTATTTCAGCTAGTTCAGGTTTTATCACAAAACCATCCTACACCTTTAAATTATGGCCTTTGGAATCTGAAAGATAACTTGAAAGCATAAAGACAAATCTCATTTTTCTAGTTTTTTTTTTTTGAGAAGGCAAAGGTATTCCAAAAATCTGTACACTTTGATGATAAATAGGCTCAAAGGAAAGGGACATGTGTCTTGTTATATTCTGTGGCCTTATTATTTGTGCCCAGCCTTTAGTCTACCCAGGTCTGCCTCTAAGTTTACTCTTATTCTCTGTCAGGAGTTGGAAGATAGCAGCACATTTTAGTCCATCAATTAGAGATGGATAAAGTAATTAATTGTTTCTGCCTTATTTCCACTTCAGGCTTGCTGTTCAGATCTGGCTAAGTCTCTTGAATGTTTCGAAAAATGGCCAATAAATTTGTCTTTACAACACACAGTTGGTAGTAATTTGCTACTTCTGAGGCCTTGGTTTCATCTTTCTGGAAGTCCTAGGTCTTGTGCTTCATATGGTGATCTTGAGCAATCTAACTCTTGTCCTATTTTGTTGCATTGTCGACACATTTCAGAAACACACACAGATACACATACACACACACACACACACACACACACACACACACACACACACACACA